TCCTCCTCCTCCTCCTCCTCCTCCTCCTCCTCCTCCTCCTCTTCCTCGAGCGCCGCGTCCCGCTGCTGGCGCGCGAGGCGGTCGCACAGGGCCTGCACGCGCCGGTCCCAGAGCTCTTCCAGGCGCTGCACTGCGCGCTCCTCGGTCTGCCGCACGGCCTCCTGCGCCGCCCGCTGCGCCACCTGCTCGCACCGCTGCGCGTGCCCGTCGCGCGGGTCCTCAGAGGAGGAGGACGACGAGGAAGAGGAAGAGGAGGAGGAGGAGGAGGAAAAGAAGGAGGAGGAAGAAGAGGAGGAAGAGGAAGAGGAGGAGGAAGGTCTCCGCGCGGGTACCCATACACTCTACCCTTCCCTAGTGTTCCCCTTTTCGGGCGTCCTGGGCGGCCCTCGTCGCCACCGCTGGATCCGCCTCGAGATGCTGGTCGGAGCGCACCCTGGGAGAGGTCCAGGGAGCAGCGGTATCGGTACCTCTTGGGCCCCCCCTCGCCCGCCGCCTCCCACGCCTCGGCGCGCATCGCGTCGAGCGTCGCCTGCACCCTGTCGAGGGCAGCCTGCATGCTCTCCTCTAGAATATCATCAACAACAGCAGCAACAACAACAACAACAACAACAAGAACAACAACAACAACAACAACAACAACAACAACAACAACAACAACAACAACAACAACAACAACAACAACAACAACAACAACAACAGCAGCAGCAACAACAACAGCAACAAGAGCAGCAACAACAACAGCAGCAGCAACAACAGCAACAGCAACAGCAACAGCATCAACAGCATCATCATCATCACCATCATCACCACCAACAACAGCAGCAACAACCACAACAACCACAACCACAGCCGCGACAACAACAGCAGCAACAACAACAGCAGCAACAACAGCAACAATAACATCCATATGTTTTAGACTGTTCGCCCTTACATGCTCGAGTGTCCAATAACGGGTATTTCCCAAACCCTCGATACCCGCCCTCTTCGTCTTCGTCGAACCCCTTTTGGGGGGTATACCTTTCTTCCCTGCAGGCCGGGCCCCGGCAAGCGGCGGGGCGGCTGCGGACCGTCGGCCTGGCCAGCGGCAGCGCTGATCGGCGGGGCGGCCGCGGACCGTCGACCCGACCCCAAGAGGGACGGACAGGGGACCGACCACGACGACGACGACGACGACGACGACGACGACGTCGACGACGACGAGCGAAAGCGAGAGCGAGAGAGAACGACAACAGGGCCACGAAGTGCACGAAGTAGGCCACGAAGGGCGACAGCGGGGACACGAAGGGAATGCGTATGGGGCCACGAAGAGCGCGAACGAGCGGGGGCCACGAAGTGCAGATAATGCGGGGCCACAGAAGGCAACTATGGGGCCACTGAGGGTAGCAACTGGGCCACGTAGGACAGTGAGGGGGACACAAATGGCGACAGCGGGGCCACGAAGGGCATGCACATGGGGCCACAACGGGCGCGACTCCTGGGTGCCTGGGTGTCGGGAGCGCGGCGCTTGGGCAAATTGCAGGAAATTCCAACGCAAGGCCATTCTTCAGTAAGTTGCAAGCAAGTCTCCAGCGAGAGCGCGACTCCAGAGCGCCGAGAGAGCGATTCCCTAGTAAATTGTAAGGAAGTCCCAAGCGAGAGCGCGATTCCTGAATGAAATGCGAGGAAGTCTCGGGCGGGAGCGGGGGTCCTGGCTAAATTGTAAGGAAGTCTCAGGCGGGAGCCGTTGTTGTTGTAACCCAGGGGCCAGGGGGCCAGTTTGAGCAGGAAGACTTTCCCTGCCAAAAAACAGGGTGCGAGCGTCGAGGGGCACACTTTGATTTAGAAAAAACAGTATGCACTGGTGAGGGGGGATCAACAATAATTATTCTTCAGAAGTGAGAGTTCAACAACAAAACGGCCCCCTCCCTGGCGCGATCAGCGCGCCGGAGGCGGTGCCGGAAGCGCCGCCAGGGGGCCCAGCGCGGATCCGAGAAAGCTGCGCGGAGCGCCCACAAGTTTATGTACAGGCCGTTTTTCCCCTCTTCGCTCCCCGCGGAAGGTCAGAGATCACCCCCGCAGAGCACCCTCGGAGAGCTGATAGCAGCACGAGTGGAGAGGCGGGTCGAGGAGCGAGAGGTCGGCGACAGGCGACATGGGGCGGGAGAGCACGGCCGAGTGCACCCTGGTGCATGTTCCACCAGGGGTCGTGCCCGCCAAGACCGAGCACGTGGCCGGGGCGGGGGCGAGAGCACGCTGCCGGAATCCGCCGACCCCCGCCTGCGGGGGGTGAGGAGGCGCGTGAGATACACGCGGCTGCACCCCTCCCCCCCTTTCCCCCCGCCCCATGGGGCCTCCCAGAATCGCGCGCCTCCCCGACGCCGCTGGCCAGTTGGCAGGGCGGGGGTCCCTGCCCACGGGCCGGCCGGCCCAAAAAGCGTCCGACTTCTTCACAGGGGGCCCCCCTGTCCACGAGGCCTCCAGGCCGGGGGCGCCGCGCTTTCGCAGGGGCTCCCCATTCACCGTCTGACAGGGGTCGGACCCCTGTCCATGGGGCGGACGGCCAAAAAACCTCCGACTTTCACAGGGCCCCCCCCTGTCAACGGGGCCACCGGCAGCGGACGCGCGCCTCCACAGGGCCATCTGCTAAGCCGTTTGACAGGTAGGCCCCCGTCAAACGACGCGCCGCGGACGTAAGGAAGGGAACGGCCCAGAACGGGAGATGGGCTCCCCTGACACGGCTCAGAACGCCACCAAGAAAGGCCAAGACTTGCCCTCCAAGGCCCTGCGGACCCCGAGCACGTTCCAAATGCTCCGGCGTCAACCCGCAAGGCCTGGAAGAAAAATTGCGCTTTACTCGTGATCAAAGATGGTTCCCAGAGAAACCTGCGAAGCCTCCAAGAAGAACGATACTTCGGCGAGCCGGAATACGTCAAGCGTAAACGAATCCGCCGACCCCTGTTTGCCGAGGGAGGACAGGCGTGTGAAATGTTTGGCTGTATCCCCACGCCCCCCTCCCCCTCCCCACGGGTGGGCTCCCAGAATAGACCGTCGGCCCGCCGCCATTCTGCACTTTGGCAGCGGGCGCCACTGTCAACTGTAAATTGGGCGGACGGCACATCCTAAAGGGGCCCGGGACACATAAGTAAAGGCACACATTCTGAGATTCCCCAAATGTTCCAGACTATATACGGCTTTCGTCTTCCCCCCCACTTCCCATAGGTTCCCATCTTCTCCTGGGGATCGACGATGACTTGTGTCTGTGTGTGTGCGTTTCCCCTCACGACTTCTGACATGTGACAGTGGGCGCCACTGTTAACTGTCAACTGGGCGGACGGCACGGTCCCGAGAGGCCTTTTCTGAGCTTTTCCCAATACGCGTACCCGCAAGCTCTCCAGAAGGTCTTCGGAAGCTCTCTCCAGGTCCTTCCAGAGCTCTTCGCCAGGCCTTTCCAAGCCCTTCAGGCGCCCCAACCCCCGGGTCTTGGACTCCACGAGCGACGGTGGAGGTTTTAGATAAGGGTACCTCCGATAAGGAGCCCAGGGTCTCGCGACCGATGGGCGGCCAAACGTGGGCCACCCACCTCGCCTTGAAACAATGAGGAATACGCCAGGGTCTGGGCCCCAGGAAGACGTTCCTTATCCAATGCCGCCGCCGTAGCTGTCGGTCGCGCGGGCGCCCGCGGCCCCACGGGGCCGCACGCCGAGCCGGCTGGCAGCGGGCCCCACGGCCCAACGCCCAAGCCAGCGGCGCGGGGGCCACAGGTTGCCCCTTGACAGTGGGACCCGCTGTCAGAGAAGGAGGAGGACGAGGAGGAGGAGGACGACGACGAGGACGAGGAGGAGGAGGACGACGACGAGGACGAGGACGAGGAGGACGAGGAGGACGAGGAGGACGAGGAGGAAAAGGAGGAGGAGGAGGAGGAGGAGGAAGAGGAAGCTGCACTGCTCAAGGGGGGGGGGGGGGGGCGCGCGTCGCCCCCGGCGGGCCTGCCTTTTGGTCGCGCGTGTCCTCCTACAGGGGGACTGTGGAGGAAAAATAAGAGATTGTCAAGATGCTCAAAAAGGTAGCCACACGTAGTCGAAAAATCGTCCCCTGACTATCTTTTTCTGACTATTTGTGGATACTTCTCCTGTGGAGGGACATGCCCGACTTGAGCCTATTTGAAAACGGCGCCCACTGTCAAACGGCCTCCCCCCAGGGCAACATCGCCCAGGCCCGCGGTCTGTCAGATTACGACAGACCGCTGCATCTTGCCAACGCCGCACCCGGCACAGGCGCGGAGGCGCCGCGGTCCGCCGGTGACGGGCCTTGGGCCCCTCCTCCTCCTCCTCCTCCTCCCCCCCTCCCCCTCCTCCTCCCCCTCCTCCCCCTCCTCCTCCTCCTCCTCTTTCTCCTCCTCCTCCTCCGCCTCCTCCTCCTCCCCCTCCTCCTCCTCCTCCTCCTCCTCCTCCTCCCTCCTCCCTCCTCCTCCTCCTCCTCCTCCTCCTCCTCCTCCTCCTCCGCCTCCTCCTCCTCCTCCTCCTCCTCCTCCTCCTCCGCCTCCTCGGGTCTCGGGATCGGCCGCCTCGCTGTGTCTCTGGGGGGGCGGGGCCCCGCCGTGGCAGGGCGGCGGAGGGCCCGCCACCCACCGCCACGTGCCGAAAAGAAACAGCCCAGCGGAGTGGAGCTCCCACCAGCGGCACCGCGTCTGCCATGGCCGCCCGCCCTTGGCGGCGCGCACAAGGGGGCAAGGGTGCAGGGGGGGGGGGGAAGGCTTCTTAGAAGGAGGCTGCTCCTTAGAAGGCGGGGGCCTTACATCTACAGACGAGGCCCGCGCCTTCTCAGGAGCAGGGGTGCATTCTGAGAAGCCGCCCCCCCTCCCCCATGCCCCCCTCTGCGCGTGGCCGACACCCTGAGGAGCTCCCAGAGTGGAGCTCTCACTGGCGGAGTGGTGCCCACTGCCCACACCAGCTGTCCGAACGCCTGCGCCCGAGCCTCCCGCACAGTCGCGCGTCGCATGCTGCGCCAGCGCAATAGTAGGAGCGGGCCCTGGAGCCTCAACTCCACCTCGGACGTATTACGGGCCTTCTGTTGTCGATGGCCGTTTCGGACTGACGCGCGCAGCCTGCTGTGAGACGCTTAGGTACAGGCCTCTCCAAGCAGTCCTGGAAGCCTCACGCAGCAGGCAACTTGCTGCGAGAAGGAACAAAAAAAACGGCGCGACACCAATGAGGGACGCTCTTGGCATCGAGACCCACGGTGTTCCCAAGAAATCCCAACGACGGCCCCGCGAAAGTCTCTGCCCGAGGAGCCCTCTCAATGGGGTCGGCGGAATGGCGTACACGTCGGTCGGAAGAAGCAGGTAGAAACATTTAGTAGGAAGACGAAGACAGCAGAAAAGCCACTCGAACCCTGAAGTAGGAATGCGCCAAAAAGTAGATTGGAATCTGGGAGTCACAAAAAGACCTACTCTCAACGACCGACGGATAAGCCTCTGTCGGGGAGACGTAAGACTCGGGTTCGAGGGACTCGGGTTGGCCCGATGGGGCCATCAATGAAAATGACGAGACCCCATCTGAAATTTGACGCGAGCTCCCGCTGCAAACATCCCACGAAAGCTGGGCCGTCAGAATCCACCACGCGCTCGTCAACGGCAAATCCGAGTTCTGGCTTACTCGAGTCTTACGTCTCCCCGACTCTCGAACAAGCTGCGAGGCAGCCTCCGACAAAACGGCTGCGGACCGGACGATCCGGGGAGGCGGTCCCGGCCCCCCCCGTCCCTCCTGTGGGACTCGTGCGCAGTTCTTCGTCTCGCCATCGCTCGGACGCCCCTTCCTCGCGCACTCGTCGGCTGCGTGGTGTATTTCTTATCCACACGATAACTCACAAAGCTCCTCGGTGGCCCTCGCCGAGGAAAGAAGCAAACGTCCGAGCGATGCCAAGGTGTTACCTCCCTTCGAACCCTTTGGCGAAACGCTGTCGGGAAACCAGCTGCATGTTCGGAGCTCCGCGCGGAGTTTTTTCGATCGGCGCTTGGAAAGCCCCTCCCTGGCGCGCGGAGCGGGCCCCAGCGCGGATCCAAGACATTCGCGCGGAGCTCCGGAAGTGTATGCTTATGACGTTCGTTTTTTGTCCAATCTCCTGCCCCGACCCCAGCATGTTCCACATCTGGTGCAGGTCGTACTGCACGCCCATCAAGTCCTTCCGGCTCGCGGGGCCTGGGGTCACCCGCAGCAGCCCGTAGATCAGCTCGTCCACGGAGATGTGCCCGCGGTCCTGGAAGTCGATGATCGAGGGAGGAAACACGGCATAGACATAACATTCGGAGCTCCGCGCGGATGTTCTCGGATTGGCGCCGGGCCTCCCTCCCTGGCGCGCGGAGCGCGCAGGGGCGGTGCTGGAGGCGCCGCCAGGAGGAGCCCAGCGCTGTTCCAAGATTCCCGCGCGGAGGTCCAAAAGTGTACTCCAGATTTCGTAATAAAAGGGAGGGGGTCTGGACCCTCCAAGACAAGCCATTCCAGACCCCCCCCCGTGGGAGAACCCTCCAAAACATCGTCCCCAGACCCCTCCAGGCCCTCCAAGATAGCCTGGAAGAGACCCCCCCCCCGAAATGAGAGCCCCCTCCCTTTTATTACGAAATCTGGAGTATGTGGATGTCCCTGTTTGTTCCTCGAGATGAGCATGAAGATCTCCCTCGCGTCGAGCTCGGAGATGCGCAGCCGCTCGAGCTCGACCTTCAGGCCCTCGAAGTCCCGCACGGCGTCCTCGAACTCCTGCACCGTGAGGCGGCCGTCGCTGTCCGTGTCCATGTCCAGGAAGAGCCTGGCCAGGTGCTTCACCGTCTTGGACCGCTCCCTCGCCAGCTTCTCGGTCCGCTTGCCCGGCAGGATGTCGATGATGCTGTCTACCATCACGGCGGTCACCAGGGGAGCGGGAGACAAAGATGGTGAATGGAATACCCGAGCTCTAGAGTAGAGGCATCTCAGGATAACTACCCTCCACCCGGAAACGGAGCATTTCACGCTGGGTAGGGTGATGGGTGAAGCGTTTCTTCAAGACCCTCTCGAGGTCCGCGCACAAGGATTGTCCGAACAGCTGAAGGTGTCACTGGCCTTCAACAGCACGGCGGATCAGAAGAAGGAGCCGACTGGAAAACGTGCTTGGGGGGGCGGTAGAACCTCGCACGGCCTTTGATGGCGCAGCCCTTGACCGGGATGAGTTGATACCAGCGGAAGGAGAACAGTTCGGATGGATCGAGTCGGGGATCGACTACAGAATTGACTGACCCGAGAGCGGATCTGCTCGTCGAGCCCATGAGATATACAACGTTTTTGTTGTAGATCCGACGAGGAAATCGATTTCGAGGTACGCCGACTCCGTAGTCGACCCCCTGCTCGAACAGAGCGGCAGGGCTCCGAGGGCTCTGCGAAGGCTCTGCTGACGCGAGCGGGACTGTGCCGCCCCGCGCCGCCGCACGACCCCGCGGGCCGCCCCCGGGATTTTTGGATTGGCTCCTCGCTGAAGCATACGGCTTGTCGAAACTGGGCGGCGCTGCAGCTAGCAGAACATTAGTCGGAATAAAAAATTCTGCACGGGCACCAAGGACGCAAGGACAGTAGTTCTCCCCCCCTAAGTCCACATAACCTCCCACCCTCAAGTGGCACAGGCTTAAATCCGTGGTCAGTACTGTACTGCATAGCAGTAACAACAGAGAGCGGCTGGGCGGTCCTGCAAGCGGCGAGGTGCATCCCCAGGGGGGAGGGGGGGCGGCCCGCCCACGACCTCCCGCGCCGAGCGGCGCGGGGGAGCCCCGAGGGCCAGCGCCGAGCCCCAGAAAGGCCCAGGCCGAGGCCGTCGAGGTCGACGACGACGACGACGACGACGACGACGACGACGACGACGACGACGACGACTAGCATATGGATCGCGCGCGGCTTGCAGGCCGTCGCGAGCGATGCGGCAGTGGCGGCCCGCGAGCCGCCCCCGAGGGGCGCGCACCGGAGGTCGGTCCGGCGAAGGGCCGAGAAGGGCTTGCAGCAGCGCTTCCCCACCTCTGCAGCCATGTGCCTCAAGAGGCCCCACGGAGGGCCGTGCTAGCAGCAGGCTCTTTACACTGCATACGACGACGACGACGACGACGACGACGACGACGACGACGACGACGACGACGACGACGACGACAGTCCGCCCACGATCCCGAGCCGAGCAGCGCGACGAAGCTTAAAGGCGCACGCCGAGCGCCCCGGTAGTCGAGTAGGGGATCGACTACAGAATCGGTTTGCCCCAGAATGTGTGCTTCCATCGTCGCACCCACGAAAGTGCGCAGATTTTGCTCCATAGGTCGTAGATCTACGGAACGTTCTGCACAGTGTTCGTAGACTCCGAGGAAGATGAATTCTGGGGTGCGTCTCTGGTGCAGTCGATCCCCTGCTCGGAGCAGGCCCAGCAGGAAGCCGCCCCAGGAAACGGGACAGCATCCCGACGCCCCGCGGGCCAAGGCCCCACCGAGCCCCGCAAGGGAGGTGGAGAACACCAGGGGGGGCAGGGAGGGGGGAGGGGGAGGTGGGGGGGGCATAGGAGCGCACGTACTCAACAAGGAAGAGACGAGGGCAAGCGGGCAAGACACGAGAAGAGGGCAAGTGATCCCGATCTCGCCCGACCGCCGCCGCGTCTACTTCCACGCTGGCTTCAGTGGGGGGCTCAGGCGCACTGGTACTACTGTGGGCGCAGGACCAGACACGCGGAGAGCGGCGGAATGTAAATCGTGAGGAACATTCTGGAGAGCTGGGAAAGCAGGAATGGGTGGCAGGAGCGACGGGGAAGAGCGGGGTGAGGTGAGCCAGACGGGGGGCTCAGGGCTACATTGGCGGGTGGCCGCAGAGGCCTCATGAGCAGCGGCAGCCACGCCAGGCGGCGAAACCACACGTGCAGCATCATGCAGAGCTTCTTCATGTTGTGAGGGATGGCTTGCTACAGCCGATCCGTGCCATTCTTTGCGCACGTAGTCCCAGCAGCTTCCCCATTCGTGGTCGTGAGCATCATCATGCGAATGTACTTCAGGGAGGTCGTGGGGAACAGCGTCAGCCACTCCAGGCGGCGGGACGGCGCGTGCAGCGTCATGCAGGTCTCCTTCAGGGTCCACCAGCTCCTCCGCCAGTGCAGCCAGGGCTGTGCTGCAGCAGCGAAGTTGTAGCAGGTCGGCTCGACGAAGACACGGTGCACTAGGGACAGCCCAGCAATGTCGATCTTCATCGTGGCGAGCGTCAGCTCCAGGCGGCGGGACGGCACGTGCATCAGCATGCAGAGTTTCAGCCCAGGCATGTCGATCTTCATCGTGACGAGCGTCGGCAGCCACACCAGGCGGCAGGACAGCCCGAGCATCATCATGAAGAGCTTCGTCGGGATGGTGTGGCCGTGCCACGCTGGCCACTCCAGGCGGCGCGGCGGCACGGGTATGAGCATGAGGATCTTCTTCGGGATGGACGTGGTAGGTATCGTGAGCCACAGCAGGCGGCTGGACGGCGCGAGCACCAGCATGCAAATCTTTTTCGGGATGGTCGGGACGCGAAGCAGCCACTCCAGGCGGCGGGACGGCACGATCGGGAACTCTATCAGGATGTAGCCCAAGCTGGCGAATGAACGTGTCGAAGATCAGGCGGCGCCGCACGTCGACCACAAGGGCCCACTCGGGCTCGTGCTGCAAGATCTTCTCGGCCTCCGAGTACGACGTGTGCGCGTCGATCTGGCACGTGTCGGCCAGGAGGTAGACTAGGCGGCGCTCGGCGAGAGTAGGTTCGGCACGACGTGCAGCGCCACCATCGGCTGCAAGAACTAGTGCGTGCTCGCCACCGGTAGCGGCAACGCCCTGCGGATCATGCTGGGCGGGTTCATGCAAGTGAGCGCCACCGGCAGCGGCAGCATCAGGAGCGTGCGGAAGAACGAGTGCACCAGCACCACCAGCAGCGGCAGCATAAGCGGGCAGAGCGTTACGACGAACGGCGCCACCATCCGCAGCGTGCAGATCAAGGCGGCGAGCTTCCGAGCGTGGGACTGGGATGACATGCAGGGCTCCATCAGCACTGTCGTCACGACTTCCATCTGCACGGATGGCGCCACCATCAGCAGCGTGCAGACCAGCTCGGCGAGCCTCAGAGCGTGGGACGGGTAGGGCATGCAGGACTCCATCGGCAGTGTCGGCAAGACTTCCACCAGCATGGCGTCGAACTTCGGGTGTATGGACATGTTGAGCATACAAAGCGGCACCGACAGAAGCAGCAGCAGCATCAGCGCCGTGAACGGCGTGCGCATGATCAGGCAGGGCGCCATCAACAGCGACATCATCGGCACGAAGTCGGCGGAGAAAGTCGGAGACGAGGTGCAGCTCACCGCCAGCGCACATGCCGACGGGAATGAAGGGGAACATCTGGAGCTTGTGCATGGATGGGCCTGTCACGTCGGCACGTGGCTCGTGGTCAGGGGCGTCGCCATCTGCTCGAGGAGGGACGCGTGCCACAGGAGGAAGCAGGTGATGAAGAAGAAGTGGGTGCCGAACGGCAGACTGGCGTGCGGCAGCACGTCCTCCTTGCAGCGCCTGGCATGCGCGGCGATGCAGGGCGCCAGCGCTCCTGCAATGCGGCATGAGGGTCAGCGTCAGCAGCAGCGGCAGGAGACGCCATTGCGTGGACATATGGAACCGCGGGCCTCGAACGCGGGCGGCGCGGCGCTCGGCCAGGTGGCCTTGGGAGAGACAGCTATGGAACTCATTTCGGCCCAAGTCCGAGATCCCACGGAGGGGACGGACTTGAGCCAAAATGGCTACGGAGGTGGGGGGGCAGAGGAGGAGGAGGAGGAGGAGAAGGAGGAGGAGGAGGGGGAGGAAGAGGAGGAGGAGGAGGAGAAGGAGAAGGAGGAAGAGGAGGAGGAGGAGGAGGAGAAGGAGAAGGAGGAGAAGGTTGAGCAGGGCCAGGAGCAGGAGAGGAGGCTGGAGCAGGAGGAGGAACCAGGTTGAGCAAGGCCAGGTTCGCAAAGATCATGAAGGAGAGGATGGCCACCGCGATGATTCCGCCCTTTAGGCCGCTGTCCATCAGGTGACGGATGGTGTCTGGAAAGTCCTCGAGCGTAGCGAATGTGAAGAGCGTGAACATTGCACTGGTCAAATGGCTGAAGTTTGAGAGGATGAAGTCGTCGCCGGCGAACATCCCCGAGTGGCCGATTATGTTCGTCATCAGCACCGCGAAAGAGTACACCACTACGAACAACAGCACCACCGCCCAAAGGACCGCGCGCATGGCGTTGAAAATGCCGGCGATAATGAGGCGCAGTTCTTGGACAAAGCGCCCGAGCCGCAGTAACTGGCATGTTGGCATCAAGTGCGTCACCACTCGGTGAGTGTCCCAAGCAGCTGGTATCCAACAGAGGACGGCCGCATCGATGAAGCACAACACGACCAAGGTGGCGTCCCACAGGTTCCACCGCTCCGCCACAAATTGGCGCCCAGCCGCCTGGATGCGCAAAAACGTCTCCGAGGCGAAAAGAACAACGAAGAATAGCTCGAAGACGGCGTAGAGGTAAATTTTCGACCTTATAATGTCGACGTCTGTCAGATACGCCTGGAGCGTGTAGAAGGCCGTGTTAAGGACGATTGCGACGTAGAAGATTGCCCGCGCCTGGTTGCTGTCAACCCAGAAGCCAGTGGGACTCCATCTGCTGCACCACTTCGCGTAGTGGTCGAAGTCCAGCTCGCTCTTCCTGTGCACGCTGATGGTGTCTCGCTGCATCCGCAGATGTGTGTGACAAGCCTTGTAACGTTTGCTCTTCTTGTCTGAGAGGCAGGAGCCGCCTGGAGGCCTCCCAAAAGGGGTCCGAGTAGATGTGGTCGGAGGATCGCGTCGCATCGCCAATGCATCGCCGATGAGTCGGCGACGCACTGGGGACATCGTTGACGCATCGGCGCCGTCGGCGTGGAGAAAATCGGGCTCTTCACTGATCTGCATCGCCGATGCATCGGCGATGCGGCTTGATCATCCGACCCCGTCAACAGCCGGACCAAGGACAGAAGAACATCCTTCAAGAGCATGAGACCATCCGCTGGCCAAAACGCCCAGAACCCTAAGATCACTCGAGGGTACCTCCCCCCAGGATGCACCACAACATCCATGAAACACGAAGAACAGTAGGGCATCCTCCCAGCACCGACCTCGATCTTATCAGGGAGACCAAAACGTACCGATACCGCCACTCCCCGGACCTCTCCCGGGGGGGCGTTCTGACCAGGATTTCGAGGCGAATCCAGCGGTGGCGACGAAGGCCTCCCAGGAGGCCCAAGAGGGGGAAAACCAGGGGGAAGGGTAGAGGCAGGAGTACGCTGTCCTCCTCTGGCTCACATACCTCGGCCCGACGGTGCTCGGAGCTCGTTTGGGAGCCCTGGGCCGCCCGAGCCGCTGACGGCACCCGTGCCCAGCCGGTCGGACCTGCCCAGGCCCGTGCCCTTCGACGCCGCCGCGGGCCAGCCCGCGCGGGACGCGCCCGGCGGCGGCGGCGGGCCCGTGCTGGCCGAGCGGCTGGCAGAGACCGCGCCGCCGTCGCGCCAGGCCTGCGCTCTCTCTCTCTCTCTCTCTCTCTCTCTCTCTCCGGGGGAGGCACGGAAGACAGGGGAGAGGCCCGACCACGAGAGACCTGCCTCAAGAAGCCCAAGCCTGAGACCCCTGGGCGTCCATCGGTTTTCGGTGTGGGAGCGGCACGCCTGCCACAGCAGAGCCATCGAGACCCAAGGAGCCCAGGGCACCCTGGAGGCCAGCCGGGTGTTTCGTTGCATGGGTCTCCACTGTAGACAAGCGCGCTCCACTACTCGCAAACTAACCACTCGCAAATGGCCTGGCTCCGCCGCGGGGGGATCTACGACCCACTATGAAACGAGGCCAACATGTGTTTTTCTGGCGTTGGCGAGGAGGCGCTTTGCAAGTAGTGGGACGCGCTCGGTGACAGAAGGGCGGGGCAGGGGCAGGGGTGGGGTCTGAGGAAAATCTCGTCTGGAGGGTGGGAAAGAGAAAATGGGAGCGGACAGCATGCTTCAGCAGCTGGCGTTACAGCCTGGATGCCGCCACACACCCTTGTTTGGCGTCGCGGCCACGCGCGCGCGCGGCGGCCCGGCGTAGAAAGTCGGGGGATTCCGCCACACGTACCCACACACACACACACACCGAAGGCCAGGTTGAAAGACATCGTGAGAAGGACGGGGATGCACGGCACAAACGAGAAAACGGTTGCACCTGGAAGTCGCTTTCTTCCGGAACAATCGCTTCACACGCCCCCTCGAAGATCGAGATGTG